TTACTCTTTTCAACATGCTTTTGAATCCGACCCTAATTACTCTTTGAATCTTTCCCCATACTCAGTTTCTCATCTCAGTTTAATTGTGCTGCTTCTTATATATGAAAACTAGTAGATTGATGTTGCTGTGAAGAACTAAAGATTTTATTTTCTCTCCTTTACATCTTAGAGCTTAGGAATTGATTAATTGACTCCACCACCTACAGAGAAAGCTATAATGTCACTACCTAGTTGGACTGAAGCATTTTCTGCTTGCAGTGTACTGTTCCTGAAAGTTTGTAAAATACTACAAAGGGGTCTATAAAAGGCAGCTAATAAGGCTATTCTGCAACTCCTATTATGCAGCAACTCCTATTATGCAGCAACTCCTATATCAAGGTTGCTCCAAACCTTCCATTACCAAATGTTGCCATATTGTTTGCAGCAGATATTTGAGAGTGATTTTGGATAGTGTAACTTTGAAATAGATGTTCTACTATATTGTAAGCTGTTAAAACTAGGAATTTTCATACTTGCATACTCTTGAAAATTTTCAGCTGATTTTTATCTAGTAAGAAAAAAGACTGTAGGAATATACACACATTTTTTCAATTTTTTTATGGTAAACAAATATTAAAAGCAGAGTATTTTTTTTTTATTTTTTTATTTTTTTTTATGGCAAAAATGTATGTATTTACCACAGATTTGAAATGACTCACCATTTAGGTATTAAACATGGGGCTTTCGTGTATTTTTAGGCATTGGGAAGTATTGCTAGAACTATTTAGGTAACTCAGTAGGTTAAAACAATTACAAGACACTTCATAAATCACAAGCCAACATGGTATTTTAGGGAAGGAGTGTGACCGATGAGGTCACTAGATATGCAGTATGTCATTTAGTTAACTTACGCCCATATTTTTCCCATAATGTAGCAGATGAACTCATTAGTTACAATGAAAAACAGTAAGAAGGAGGCATCTGGCTTCCAACTGCCTCTTTTGACAGGGTTAAGATCGCTAGATCTAGTAATGGTTCTGCTTTGTCTACTGCCATGGCCTTGTGCTGCAGAAAACTGATGAGGTTTGCTGAAAATTTACAGGCTTACTGTCACAATGTTAACACAGACAGATGCAATCAGTTACATTTTTGCTTCTGTTCATGTTTATCATTGTGCTAAATTGATGTAAGTATTTTGAATTTTCATAAAAGCATATGCAGTACCAGTTCAAGATTTTTAATAAATAACTTTATTAATCAGTGTCCAGTACTGATTCTTTAATCCTAAATTTTGAAGGCTACAGTAGTGCTATGATACCATATAAATGAACACAGAATAAATCTCATGGGTATGCAGTGTTATAACTAGAATTGGTTGAGTTTTGTGACCTATGCTCAGGAGTTTATAATTTACTTAAAATAGTACTAATAAGAATGCTGATCCATAAGGTCTCTTCAGACCTACATCTGAAAATATGTATTTTCAGACATATTAATACATATAATAGTATATTTATTTGGGAGGCAATTATTAATCAGTTTTATGTGTTCTAAATTTATTTTTCTTTGGTATACAAAAAGTGAATTGGACCCTTTAAACCCTTATCCATTTAGATTGCTTTATGTTTTAAAAATGAGAGTTAAAGCATTGTATTTAGGTAGTTTTTGAGATTATTATTCATGTTGATAAATCAGACTGAGCTGATGCACTGTATTCACATAAATATGAGAGACACAATAAGAAAAGTAAAAATACAAATCCGGTTTCTGTGGGAATGAAGTATCCATACACTTACCAGTATATAGAATAAATTCTCTTGATATTTTTCCCAAATAATTTGAATTAGTTTTATGTATTGTATAGTATATCATGTATCAATTCTGTATCCATTGATTGGGAATACTCTAGGCATTTTATTCTCATTTGGTAACAAAGGATTACAAGGCCCCCACAGATTAATTAAGTACAGTCCTATTTAGAGAGTCTTGAAATTAGTTCTGATTTTTTAACTTGCTACTCTAATTGGAGGGCTATTTACAGAACCTTGATTCCATAGTGATGGCTGTCACTTCTCAATCTGAATGTATTCCTTGTGAGTTTGCACTCAGTTTTTCTCATGCCAACTTTTCCATTTAGCTTAAATCTTTTTTTTCTGGAGTTTACATCATGAAAATATATGTAAAATCGCTGTCGTATACCCTTTCAGTATTAGTAGGGCCAGACTGTATCAGACAAACTCTTTTCTGCAACATTCGATCTCCACAAAATCACTTCTGTCTTCCTCAAATGTAACACTGTACAGAGGATTCCATAATGAACTCTAGCAAAGCCTTCTCTGATCCATTAATGCTTAATTGTTGCTGGAGCTATTCTGAAAAGTTTGGAACCACATTTTTCTTTTCCATGGCAGTGTTGTATTGGTAACGGAATATAGTTATTATCAATGATTGATGTATCCAGGTCCTTCCCTTCAGTTGTTTCCAGTTGATGAATTCCAGTTATAATTATCCTTCTGTGTATCAGTTGTACCTTGTAACTGTCATTAGCAAATTTCAGCAGAAATTAAAGTTTTAAATGAGATAACTCCCATAGTAGTTTTCCTCACTCTGATACTTACTCTTTTGAAACTCTTCGGTGTCTCCTTCCTAGACAGTTTCTTTTCCCACCTTCTATTAATTTCCAGGTTCTCCTGACTAAATTATCCATTGTAACAATTCAGCTTTACTTAATTTTATTACATTCACCCTTACTTTCTTTGAGAAATAAGTATTTTAAAAGCTCTTTTAGCAAAGCTATTTTGTAATCTATCTCATTCTATTCCATCACTATTCTTTATTCCAAAATAAATCCTAAAGTCTTGCTTACTGTTGAAGCTTCTAGTTATCTGGATAATTTTTTTCCCCTCTCTTAAAAAGAGAAACCATGTGTGTTTTTTTCCAGTCACATGTTGCTATGTCCTCTTACCTGTTTGGCAGTCATACTTACTACCAGTCCAGTAATTTCATAGACTCTTTCCAAACTGGCTCAGAGTCAGTTCATTCCCATGATGCTAATGCATTAAAATCTTTCTTTGTTGTTTTTTTTTAGGGTATTTACATTTCCACAGTCACATTTCCAGTAGCTTTCCTGTCTTTAGCTATGTGTTCAGCATTGTTAACCTTGATGAAAATCGAGGTTAGATGTACTCTAACTTTACCATGAAGTAGACCATCTTCTTTTCTCAGTGTCCTCTTTTTATTTACATAATAATGGAGCCTTATGCTCTTTTACTTACCATACATTACAAGGGCAACAATCTGCTTGACGGCCAATCCAGTCCTACTTTTCCCTTCAGTTGAGAAGTGTTGTCTTTGTATGGATGAAGTTTAAAGACACAAACAAGCAGAAAAAATCATTAGGATCATTCTGTGGATCAGATGTCCTTCTGTACCAAATAAAGGCAGTGCTAAGTAGATACGGATTTTTTTACTTCCTGACCTGGCAGATGCTAAGTGCATTTTATGCAGCTCATAAATCCAGTTTCTACTTCCTGCTTCACAAAGCAGGGCTCATATCTATTTGATAAGATGTGTTTAAGGCACTTAGGAGAAAGAGAAGAAGGAAGTGGCTTCAGCATTTATGGCTGTTAAAAGAAGAAAACGATTCTCCTTATAATGGGTTATTCTGTTTTGTATTTTTAAAAGCCTCTCTGTCTTTATCTCTTTGTTAATACTTGTACACATGAAGAGGTTTGCTCTACTATTAGTTCCAACGCATAAATAGTCTCATACAGAATTTTTTATTTGCTCATGCATATAGGCACACTTATGCCCATGTGGTAAATGTGTAGATGTTTTACACCTGACTGTATCAAACAATTGGTAGTAAGTTTTGTGATTGTTATTAAAGTTACATTGCTGAAGCACATTTTGTTTGTAATAGAAGGACAGAGTGTCATCTAATTATGTTGTCAAATATTTTCCTTAATATCTAAACTGCTATATCTGAACCATTAAAAAAAAACAAAAACAAAAACAAAAAAACTTGCTACTTCATGTATAAGCCAGCTAAACTGTATAATCAAGACAAATGATCCGATGAAATTAAGATAGTTTAAAAGTAAATAACAAATCAGTTTGAGTGCAAGCTTTTGGTGATTAAAAATAGCCACACTGTTGTTAAAAAAAAAAAGAAAAACATTAACAAAACTCTGGCTAACTTTCCACTAAGCATAGCAAATTATTCTTATTTAATTAAGTTGCTGTGTCTGTTTCACTGCAGTAATTCATAAAGAAAAGCTTTTCTCGGTTATAAGGTGTTGTAGAGATTGTTTCAATCTGAAAATGTTCCAAACCTAACAGATTTTGCTTGCCCATCTTTATAAAGTTCTATTTATATTGTTTTTAACATTTGCCTGAAAGAATTACAGAATTTTACATGTTGTGGGAAAGGGGGAGTTGTCTAAAAAATCAACAATAAGACTTTTTTTTTTCATTCATGTATTGATGAATTTGTATTAAATGTAATTATATATATGTAAAAATGTGTATAATACACATTTTAAACAAAAGAAAAAGCAAACAAAGGGTCTAGCAGTTTTCTTTTGAATGCAAGCTTAATAATTGCTGACAACAATAAAACCCCTAAATTTTTTAGCAATCCTGAAGGATAAGTGATTGCATTTTCCTCTTCCAGTAGTCCCACCAACCATTAAAATATGCCATCACTAGGTTATAATTTTTTAACACTGTTTTTGCTGGCAGTATTTTGCCATTTGATTGCTGTGTGAGTAGTGAGCTGTAATTTCTAAGTGTCACTGAGCTTGCATAATACAACTTTGGTCTCCCTTTTCCAAGCTATTATATATGCCAAACAACTGTTGAAAAAAAATGTTTTGTAAGTAAAATGAGATTTTAAAGTTTAAACTACCAAGATTTGTGGGCTTTTAAATACATATGCCTTGTTAAACCTTATGATCATGTTTTTAGGAAAAAAACAAACTAAGTTATAAATATTGTTTATAATCTCTATTTCACTGCAGAGACGCCAACTGTATTTCCAGAAAATATCAAAGATAAAGAAACACCAACACCAGTTGAAGATATTCAGCTGGAAAGCTCTATTCCTCATACAGATTCTGGAATTGGAGATGAACAGATGCCCAGTATTTTGAATGGGACAGACTTGGAGACCAGTACAGGCCCTGATGCTATGAGCGAGCTGTTGTCTACTTTATCTTCAGAAGTGAAGAAGTCTCAGGAGAGCTTAACTGAAAGCCCCAGTGAAATTCTTAAACCAGCGTCATCAATATCCAGTATCAGCCAAAGTAAAGGCATCAATGTCAAGGAAATACTGAAAAGTCTTGTGGCAGCCCCTGTTGAAATTGCAGAATGTGGTCCGGATCCAATCCCTTACCCAGATCCTGCACTGAAGAGAGAAGCTCAGGCTATTCTTCCCATGCAGTTTCACTCATTTGACAGGTATATGGCTGGATTCATTATTTTATATTGATGTAATTCAGAAGTGTGAAGGATATTTTTTTTAAAACAAGGTTATTCTTCTATTGGCTTGTACCAGACGATGTTAATAAACAGCTGCATTACTTCTCCTTTCTGTGTCACCAAAACAGACCGTATAGTACAGACAAAAGTAATTAACCTTGTTTTTCTCTGTCAGCAGTGAATAAAATTCCACAAAGTACTTGAAAAACAATACTGTTTTAAAGTAATATTTTTGCAATAAAATCTTCTTTCCTTTAAAACAACATTTTAGTGAGAAGCAGGGGTAATATTTGCTGATATAGAACAGACTGTGCAGAAATTCAGTCTAATATTCTTTCAAAGGCTTAAATAATAATTGGATCCATCATTGCACTGTTTTCTGGTACTAAAATACTTTGACCATGGCAAATTATTTGCATGGTCATGATGGAAGCCAGTTTCCTTTTAGGTCTTTAAACAGCAATGACACTCAGAAGTTGGTGTTTAAAAATAAACTGCTGAACATTTCCACAGAGTCCTTTGTTTCTCTTCTTAGGCTGTAGCTTCCCAGCTTCTAAAGAATATACTTTTCCTTACATGTCCAGTCTGTCTTAGTTATCCTGAACAAAGAAGTTGTGATAAGATGTGCAATTGACAACATCCTTCTAGAAGAAGGGTAACCTGATTCATTGTGGGGTGAATCTTAACCTGTGCAAAGAACTAACTGTTACGAGTGTTGATGTGGTTACATTTTCCAGAATGACAAGACCCCTGAAGTTTCTTAATAAAAAAACCTATTTTTAAAAGTAGAAAAATTGAATAAAAACTTAAAGATATGGTAAAACATGTCTCAAAATTTTAAGCAAAGTTGTAGAAGTATATTGGTTCACCATGCAGGTACAAGAATTAGAATTCTAAAAGAAACAGAAAATTAAACAAGAAAACAGCTGTTGTGATTTATGAGAAAAATCCATCTGCATTTCCACAAAACCTGCAAAAATATCAGAAATGTCTTGATTAAAGTCTTAAGAAAAACAATATGCAATCAATCTTTTCAGCATAACATAAACAGTAAAGTGCAAGAAGTTACACAACAATTTTAGAATAAAAGTGAGAAAGCACATTTTCAGTATGAATTCCAAATAAAAACTGTTGCCTTTTTGCCTGTATGTATATGCTAGTACTGAAGCTGCTTTTCTGAAGTAATTCAATAAACAACCTGATAGTATCTGTTGTAACAAAGAAAGATTGGATCCTAAGACAGTAATAGTGAAATGTGCTTTAGAAGCAGTGAGTCTGTCCCTTTCTAATACTATTTTAGGTCATAATGCCATTCCAGAGAAAGCTCGTTTAGCAACTGTTTCATTAAGAGCATATTCTTTGGCTCCTCAATCTGTGTGTTTTGATTTTAGAGCATTTTCAATCTGAAGTGAAAAATATTTTTTCCTATACAGTTAAGAATTTTTCATTATCGTCATATTCCAGAATGCATTCTTGTACATTAAGCAGTACAGAAATTTCTGCTGTGTGTAGAAGTAAAAGCACCTAACTGTAACCACCAAAAGATTACTTAAATTGAACCTATTTGATTACATTTCTACCATGGTCAATTAAGAAAAATGCTTCATTCAGAGAGCTGTTGTTAATTCACAAAATAGTAGACACCTAAATTAAAATGGAGCAGATCACCTCATGAGATGCCTTTGTCATCATTAGAGGGAACTTAACACCAAGATGATTGAAGAGATGAGCTTTATTCTGGATTTCTAAATTACAGCTTTATAAGGAAGTGTTAAAAGCTCTAAAGGGTTGTAGTAGGTTGGTTAGAACCTGTGTGAACAGCTGCATTAGATTCTTCTTGCAACAATGTGGCTGCTTGTATATTTCAAACATCATTAGTTGTTGTTAATAGAATTATGGAATTATTTGAGAAGTGCTTTAGGTCTAAATATTATTGATACTTATTGAGTTCACTTAGAAGCTAGAGGATTTTGTGGGGTTTTTTCCCTATCCTGTTACCCTCCTGACCAAGTTTCAATTCCATGATTTCCTGTTAAGAAGTGTACAACTGTGTTTGCATCTTGGTAGAATGTTTGTACCCTGATAGTTGTTGACATTGTTTACCTCTTCAGCAGACATGGAAATCGTTGAAGTTTAGGCAAAATAAAACCTATTTACATCAATTTTGTTGGGTTATTTAGTTTATCTTAAGTAGATCATCCTGCTGATTTTGGTGAGTGAGGCAGACCCAACAACTATGAAGGGAAAACTGGCAGCTTCAAGCAGGTCCTCACAGATCAGAAAGTGGTAAATTCTTTCCTCCAGCTAAAAGGATATTACTTTTCCTTTTCACATTAAAAAAGAGGAGCAGACTTAGATCCTGACCTTATAACTTCTAATGAGGGGTGAAAGAAAGGTTGGGGGAGAAAGCCTAGAGTAGTATATTGAAGTAATATTAGAATTAATTAAAATATTACTTGAGAAAACAATATGAGTATTAATTTATGGTGGTCTATGAACATTTTGTGTTGCCTATAGCATCCCAATCATCATTGAAAATCTAAAAAAAAGTTACAGCATGATTCTTTTTCCATTATTGCTCATGGAAATATAATTGTGTTTGTTTATATAAGACAACAATTATATAACACACAGTGGATATTTTTAAAAGTTAACGCTATGCCTGTGGAGTGTATTTTTGTAGGATCTTCTGCTGCTGTAGTTTATGCAGCTTTTGGTACTTCACTGAGCACTGTAGCTATGGGTCATGTTTATTCTCTCTAGGGAGAATAACGAGCAATGGAGTGCATTGTTTTGTCAGGTTTTATTTGTTTCAGCTTTTATAAAATATACACAGCGATTCTATATTTATAAGCAAATCGAGGTCAGAGAAATATATTTTTCACTTTAATCAAAATATATTCTTAGTCCTTTTGAGACTGGTCTTTTTTATTTTATTTTTGCTTGTTAAGTGTTGAGGTAATAAGTAATTAGTATAGAAGTAACACTGTCTTTGCTGTTGTAAAGATTTTTCTGTAATTCTAACCACTGATCTTACATGCAGGAAACTCCTGTAAATAGAATTGAAGTTAAGAATTCTATTTTATCATTGAATGTGATGTGTTTTGCTCTGCATGTTCTTTTAGATCTACATTGTTGATGTGCACATACGAGTGTTCATAAGGCTGCAGTATATTCTTCCATAGAAGTTGTGCAGTTATAAATGAAATATAAAAGCCGAAAATGTGTCCAACATGTTTCATCAAATTGAGCTTGTGTGTAGTTAATGTATGCAGCAGTTCAAGTACTATCGAATGTAAATGATGAGGTGATATTGATGAAAGGAGGGGATTGGGGTCTCGGGGGGCGCTGATGACGGATTGAACAGAAGCGGCCTCGCACCGCACGTAACTCAAGTCTGTCGTCTTCACCGCTCAAAGCCGTAATGGGAGGTGGCAGTCTGAAATGAGTTGCCACGGCAAAGAGTATTATTTTTGAAATGCTTTCACACAAATCACTAGGCCCTGCATACAACTTAGTTTCATGCTTTAATGTCATCAGGAGGCACAAATTGGTGTGTCTAATTGTTTGCCACCTGCCAGCAAAATGAGCTGCCAGCCAGCCAGACGGGTTTGATTGTCTGTCAGCTCTTCAATAGATTGAGAGTGACAACATCAAAAATTTCACTTCAAACTCTGAAGCTTTGAGCAGCTTTTCAGAGACCTCTTCCCCACAAGTGCTTCTGGACAACTGCATTTTTCAATTAGTTTTCAATATATCGCTGCCTTCTGCCTCATCTGTCTTTAGGTAGCTGTAATTACATTACGAGCTATATAAACAGATTTCTGGGACACTGGAGCCTGGATCCTCAGAGTTATGACATGTCTTTTATCGTCAGACTGAATTCCTTGGAAATGGCATCCAGGGTGACAAACACAAAGGGTTATTTCACCTAGATTTGCAAGTAATGGAGCCTAACTCACCAATAATTCCTTCTTGCTTTCTCATCCTTGTCTGACAAAAGTTAGTCCCTGTTACTGATTTTTAGGGTTTGGGCATTTCTTGTTTCTGTTTTTTTGTCAATTTGCGTTTGTCCCACTAGACACAGCCTAGACCATTAACACGTATAAATTTATTTGTGATTCTACCCAGCACTGCATTATGAAGCCTACATTTGTTAATTTCTACCCTTTTTTTGGTGGATACTTTTTAGAGGGGTGCTATTGTTGAAACAAAGAGTGGTCCTGGTTTTGTATCTCATGTATTATTTTTTCAAAGTGATTTACATCTATTTTCTGTACTTAAGAATTAGTTCAATAGGAAACATGCTTGCGTAAGCAGAAAATCTTGAGTTCCTGCAGTGAGAAGACCCTTCATTTTTGCTGCTACTAAATGTCTTATTTCCTTTTAATCCATTATCGCTCCATAAACTGGAATACTGTGGGTTTGCATAGTTTAAATGCTCAATGAACTCTTAACAAGTGTTTTTTTTATATATATGAAAAGGACCTTCTCCTTTGGTCCTTGAGGCCAGTTTTAAAGGAATTTATATGCTAGAAAAGATGAACAATTTGTGAAATCCAGTCAGGGCTGATATATGTCCTGCCAGTTAGTATGGAGAAAGAAGGTCTTCAAAAAGTATGTTTAGATAAAAATCTGTATTTTGTGTATGTAGGCTGTATTTAGAAGGACTTCTCAGAGTGTCTATGCTTTTTACTGTGAGAACTGAACACTGAACTGTGAGAGATGCAGTGAAGGCTCAAGTTGAGAGGTTAAATATTTGTTTTATTATTGTCCATCTTTGGGAAGTCGTTGATATGCACTGTTCTACACAGTTATTTAAATAAAATAGCTTATTTAGGATATTACATTCCTGTTAGTCATTAGATTATATAACCAAATACTAGATGTTATTTTCCTGAAAACGTAAAGAGTTATATATGAAGATGTTTTAGTCTTCTCCCAACAGAAAAGATTGCTTTTTAAAGTTCATAAAGAAAAATAATAGGAGAAAACATAAGCAGCTTTCCCAAGAATCAAGAAGAGACAATTAAAGGTGCCAGCCAACATGGCTTCACTAAGGTCAAATCATACCTGACCAATTCAGTGGCCTTCTACGACAAGGCTACAGAGATGGTGGATGGTGGCAGAGCAACTGATGTCATCTACCTGTATTTGTGCAAGGTTGTTGACACTGTCCCACATGACATCCTGGTCTCCAAACTGACAAGACATGGATTTGACAGATGGACCACTCGGTGGATAAGAGTTTGGCTGGATGGCCACACCCAGAGAATTGTGGTCAATGGCTCAATGTCCAAATGGAGGCAGGGGATGAGTGGTGTCCCTCGGGGGTCAGTACTGGGACCAGTGCTGGTTAACATCTTAGTAGGAGACATGGATGGTGAGATTGAGTATATCCTTAGCAAGTTTGCTGACTGTACCCAACTGTGTGGTGTGGTTTTGATGAATGTATGGTATAAAATGATTGAAGGAATTTGTAAGTACTGGACAGTCAGCACCAAGGTTTTATTTGGATAAATCTCAAAGATTATATACTTCTGTCAGCCTTCCTTATCTCTTCAGTATACCTCATATTCCTTATCAATTTTTCTAGTCTATGACTGTTGGCTCTGAGTTTCCTCCTTGATTCCAGACAAATCCTATCTTAATGCAGTCAGTGTAACTGAATGCTGTCTAAAGTAGGACTCAACGTGTGTTGTTAGTACATACTAATGATCACTTCTTCCAAACTCAAATCACAATCTGGGGCTGAAATCAGAAAGAACAATGAGTAATCAGTGATACACTTGTCTTATTAAGAGCTGGATATGTACACAGGTATGGAGAATATGAATAACTTCCAGAGAAGAAATACTAAGCTTTTTTTTTTCAGAGATTAAATTAATCTAACTGTGGGAACAAGGTAAAATGTAATGTAGCAGACATATTTCCCTGATTTTCTACTGGGCTTTGTTCTAAAATATATGGCAGAGACTGCTGTTTGACAGCATTCTGAAGTATCTGCCTGAAGTCTGTAATGCATTTACAAGAGCACTTCTTGAAACTGTTTGCTTTCTACTACTGTGGGGGAGGAAGGGAGGAACAAGAATATTGATTCAGCCTTAAGAGGTTTCACATATCCTAGAAGGGTGTAAAGTGATTCTAAATTAATTGCTGCTGCTCAGATAGGTAGCCCAAGACATCCAGTATTGGAGGCTTATCTCTGACCTCTTGATTAACCAGAGTGATTAGATTGGAAGGCCCTTAGATTTTTAGATTGAGAAGTACAGAATGTGAATCACAGAGAAAGAGGGAGAAAATATAGTGCTGTGTAACCTGATTTGTGTGTAGCTAAATTTTTAATGAAAGTTAATTTGAGAAAGTATTTTTTAAATTTTCCTTTTTCTCTTTTTACAGTTCAGCTTGTTGATGATATTATTTTCATGCAAATTACTAAACCCCAGAAGAATCCTGTAGCCATTTGCTAAGGTTATTTAATAAACCAGCAATGCATGAGTGATGTGCAGGTTGAACCAACAACACTCATCTTAAACATAATGCAAATTCCAATGACTTCGGGCTTAGACTTACTATTGGAAAAGGACACTCATCAAGCAAAAAAATAATGATTAGTAGTTACAATTATTTTTTAATTGTACACTACCTGATGAACAGAGAAATAAAATCAACTGCCACAACAAATTACTACTAAGCTTTTCTTGACTAAATCATTGCATATCATTTGGGACAAGGATGATGTGTTTCAGAAACATGTGAACCACTTCAAAACATTTTGGAAGTGTGTTGTAGAAAACAAAGCCTAAAATGCAATGATGGGTGTGTATATAACCTTCTAGTCTGTGGATTTCTGTTCTTCCGTGAAAGGAGTATCTGAATGTGCTGCTGGAGTGGCTTAATTGGTTAAAAGAAGATTTTTTCACTGGAGTGGTTAGTCATCCTCTTTCACCTTCCTTGTTCTTCTTTTCCTCTGATTGTTTTGCACAGTTTTGACAAATTTATTTTGTTATTCAGATAGTTTTTCAATCTCCTTCCTCTGGATGTCATTCTGTATTCACTCATTGTATTTTGTTTTATCAGTAGGAATGAGACATTTTGACAAGGTCGTCATGTATGACATGTCAGAAAGCTGCATTTTCTTTCCGTCTGGGATGATAATGTCTTCATTGATTTTGTCTGTTCTTGTGGTGGAGAGGTCTCTTGATGTTTCTTGATAATTTGTAGTTTAATAACACCTGACCTGTCTTAATTTCCTGATTCAGACCTACAAAAGCATTTATATATGTAGAGCATTAGTATTTATGGGATCTGGTCAAAATTATTCTTTCCTGCTATGGAAGCTGATTTTCTAACTTAAACTACACTATTAAGAAAAAGAGGTTTTGTCTTTATAGGAGGCCAGTACATTTGGAGTTTGGACTAGATGTCTTTTAAAGGCGTCTTCCAACCCAACCTATTCTATAATTCTGTTACATCTGGGGGTGAAGTTGAGATAAGTGATCATTGCTATGGAAGGTTATGTGATCTTCTGGATACTCTGAAAGAACACTGAACTGTCTGAAGATAAGGAGGAAGACCTTGAGTTTAGCTTCATCTTCTTTGGAAAAGTCACAGAAAAGTAGGATATACTTTTGTAACATTTGTATCAGCAATTTAGCCAATACCAATATCTGACTGTATAGAAGGGAAAAATTATTTTGCTTAAAATAAATCCTCAAACGAAACAGATCTTGCCCACTTTGTCACTCATACTGTCTTGTGCCTGCAAACACTAGGTTGGCTGTGTGTCTAAGGACTCTGTCCAGCAGTCAGGCAGCTCCAGGCCTGTGTCCAGATGCTAGGTCCAGTATCTGCTGCAATGACATAGAGAACGTGAGATGCAAGCTGTCAAGTCTTCCTCATATCTTCTGGGTGCTTCATAGGTTCACAACTATTTTCAAGTTTCAGATATAGCTTTTTTATGCATACAGAGCTGCCAACAGTCTCTCTGTCCTTTCCCATGTCTTTGAGCCATCACTCTTCACTCCTTTTTTCTCCAAGGTCTGGTAAATTTGTGAACCTACACACATACCTGTGATCTCAATTACTTGATAGTCTATGTGCCATTAGCATAGGCCAGTCAGAGATTGCTTTTCCCCCTGCATTTTTCCTTCTTGTGCTTCAGCACCCAAATATTCCCATTAATTCTTCATTAATTGAGATAGAGATTTTTGTGTGTGGATAGGAGCTAATTTTAGGAAATTTCTTGATGTTACGGAGCAGATTAAACTAACCTGTGTAGACTCAGCTTTATAAACATGTAGCTGCTGCTATGTAAACACTTCATATCAGCAACAATTGTAAGACATTATTAACTACAAACAAAGGCAATTATTTAAGGGTCATGTATCTTAACCAATAGCTATTGTGCAATCTCATCTTCTCTTAATGTAAACAGAAGGAGGCAGAAAAACATCAATATGCCTTCCTAATAGTGTGTGATCAGGATAGTGGTAAAACTTGCTCAGAATGCAGAGACATCAACTGGAACTGTTATCCCTCTAAAGAGAGTGAGAAAAAAAATGGCTTGTGGATTATTTTATATGCTGCCATCATGTAAGAGGAGATGATAAAAAATAACACTTGCATCATCAACATAATCTGCATCTGCAGTCCTTAAAATCCAGGGAGACTGAGGACTTAGACTTATATAAACAAACTACATTACTGTAAAAAATTGTTCTGCCCATTTGATCCATCATGTGACATTATATTTGTATAGAAGTACAATAAAATAACTACCGAATGAACTTTTAGACCAAAATAAGGCCTTATTACCCTGAGTAGTTGCACTTTCTTGATCTTTTATTTGTTCACACAGATTAATTTTAAAGACAAGTTTATCTGCTAAACGAAAAAAGGTGTGATGAAAATATGATGATGAAAATATGTTTTCAAAATTACAAATATGATCTCTTTCAAGCTTGTTTTTCACTTAGGTTTCCTACTGAAATACTAAATGAAAATATTAATGAAAAATGAAATATTAAATGAAAAAATGTAAATATACTTACCTGCACTGAAAGCTGTCCAGTGTTGAAAAAACATTAATGGATATTTTCCTTCTTCCCTTTTAACACATACAGCAAGTCTTTTAGGTTTGAGATTTGAAAAAAAAAAAAAAAAAAAAGTGGTTTAAGATTAGATGAGAACGTGTTTGAATGCAATGTTGTATATATATATATATGATTTTGTGTCAGATTTTTTGTATGAAAGCTTTATTTTCTTCTTAAAAGCTTGAAATTCTCAAAACTGCTGTTTAAACTGTATTTTTAAATTAACATGATTTCAAACTTGTGAGAGCAAGTATCTACGGTGTTGCATTTTAGGTGTTCAGTTTACATCATGTGCTGTTGAGAAAAATGAGTATGAAAGTTTTCCAGAAGTCTGATTGCAAAATTATGTTTGGTAGTCAACTGTATTTGCAAGACCAGGATGTGCCTGCTGAGCTGTGCAATAGTCAACTACTGTGTTCAAATGTTCAGATGACTGGCAAAAATATTGTGATCTTTGATTCAGTAAGATCAACAAATTAACACACTCATTAAGACTGCATGTTTGTATAGACTGCTAGAGTGCTGGCATCATTTTTAACACTTTCTTTGCAAATCTAGAACACAGGTGACAGTGATATTCACAACATATCAATGAAGTGGTAGGGCACTGAAAGACAAATTAAGTTCCTCAGAATCAAACGAAGCTGCAGACTAAGGATAAGAGTGTGGTTTTAGGCTCTGTTAACATAGTCTTAAGCTATTTCAGAAAAAAATAGAAAATTGACATTATTATGTGTCACTCATGTTATAATACAGAAGCATTATAACACAGCAAAGTCCTATTCTAAACAAAAACTCCTACTAACTCCACTGTGCAGTTTTAGTAATCTGCCATTTCTTTTTTGCACAGGAGTGTGGTTGTACCAGTAAAGAAACCCCCTCCAGGTAGTCTGGCTGTTACTACAGTTGGAGCTGCCACAGCTGGGAGTGGACTGCCACCGGGTAGTACACCTAATATATTTGCTGCAACAGGAGCTACACCAAAAAGTATGATTAATACAACAGGTATTGTCCTTAAATATTTTTGTGACCCTCATTTTTTCTTGTCTGTTTTTTGTTTTGTTACTTTTAGTCGTGTTCTGTTTTTTATTCATCTTTTTGTTACTGTTTTTGTACTTCTAAAATAAAAACCTGGAAAGATTAAATCTTGGCCTTTATTAGAGCCAGTGTTTCTTTGTGGTGTATGTTTATAATATTTGATAGTGCACATTGAAATTGACCAGCCTTAAATAACTGAATAAATAGTCTTAATACTGATTTATAAGCAAAGTTTAGAACTTCTCTAGTGCTCTGCCATAGAGGATATTTATATGATACATACTACTTAATCCCTCCTTAGGTGTCAACAAAAGCAGACAACTAGCTGTTTAATAAATATGCTGTAGATTGTGGAGAGTTAATATTTTGGGGAATTAATATTTGTCAATTAAAATTATGCTATGATTTTTAAAGGTTTTTCATTAAGAATCTACCTAATTTAACCGTAGTCATGTCTTATGAGTAGTTGTTTATTTTGACCTAAAGAAGGGAGAGCCAGGCTTTCTTCTTTTAGTTATTTATAACAGTAATAATGGAATTGTCTGTCATGAAGGAGCCTGTTGACAGTGGAGACTGCCATTTCCATTCAGAAATTAATCCTTATTGAGAACAACTGATGTTTACTTAAAATCCCTTGAAATGTCCAGCTATGGTCCATTTTTTTTTCTAAACTAAGCAAAAGCACTCGAGAGAAGAGCTCTCTTCAAGGATATCACAACTTCAGTTGAGGGTTGAGAAAGTGAAGATCTCCTTTGGGTTGCAGAAAATGGAGAGGGAAGCTTTTGGCATCCTTCTTCTTCATGGAATAATATGAAGACAAACTCATTATTTTTTCTTTCCGTTTACAGATTACCTTAAATATCTGGTAATAGAACTTAGATTTTTCTAAGGATTAAAAAACTCTTAAAATCTAATTATCATGAGGCAAATGGAAGGAATGAAGGCTCTGAATAGTGTTATAACTTCTGTGAACACTTCCATTTCTGTAGCAACTTATGTTAATCTTGAATAGATTTCCTTTTAGGTACTCATGTAATGCAAAAAATATCTTATATTGGAAACCTTGTTTTCCAAATGATACTGAATAGTGTAAGCTTTTCAGTCTTCTCACTGATAAAAGATCTGAACTGTTTTGGCTGGAATGTAGTAGCTCCTCTTTGTAAGTAATTGCATTGAAAAATCAGTCATTTCCCCAATACTGTTCCTAGAAGAGGACAGTATTGCATATATCATGGTATATTCACTATGGATTAAAGGCTGGGTTTTTTTGGTTGATCTTATGGTTTTGTTTTGTTTAGTTCTTTGTTTTGTTTTCTTGGGCTTTTTTTACTGCACCTGGTTTTGTCTCCTAGTCTGTGGATTAGCTTGATTAAAGGAAAAGCATTGGCTGAGTCAATGGAATTTCAGCAAGTATGAGATTTAATTAGAACTACATGTGTACTAAATTTCTTTAGTGGTCTTATTTTGTAAGGCCTTTAATGCCTGAATTCATCTGAATGAGCTTTATTGATGAATTCTCTTGAGAAATAGTTGGAAAAGCCCTTCCCCTCCAAACTTTTTAAAGATCTGAATTTTATATCAATGCTAAATGCATTAATGACAGTTTAAAAAAATAGTAGTGCATTGAAAAAATATAAATATCTATTAGATTAAAATGCTCATTTTGTCATTTTTTATTAAGCTATGTCTACAATAGTTAAGACAGTGATCATGTATGTCAGTTTTTTAACTATATACATGAAGTTTTATCTTTCATAAATTATTATAAAGCACTGTATAATATTTAATTGAACAGCGTTTCTTTTTTTTTTTTTTTATGGTAAAAAAGAAGCAGTATACAGTTTCTTAGAAACACTAGATGTCCCCCCAAACCTTCTATTTACAGTTGTTTTTATAGTACGTCACAGATACACTAGAAATACAGTTTTATCCTTGAGGTATAATCAGTGCTGGACTTGTGCAAAAGGTGTTTTTTTTAAGTTATGCACAGATTGCAGTCACTGTTTACATTCCATCTGCCATCACTGTCATAGTCAATGTCACTGTCTCAATGTAATGAGATGTACGTTACTGCAGTCACCTTAGTGCTTTGCATGTATCTTTTGGGACACAGGTTTTCTTCATGTAAAAAACTGGTTTTATATGGTTGAGACTGGCTTTCTGTAATTCATGTCCTGATTTTTACTTCTGTGTTAATCCGTTAGTTCTAGGTCTGTTTGACCTTCTCTTCCTGGAGACTATCAGGTTAAAACAACTTAGCACTGCATTTTTAGACAACAGCCTTAATGAAGAAAAATTGACTTTGGAAGGAAAAGGGAAGAAGCAACAAAAATGCGTCACCAATGTATATATGAATATAAATATGTAAATAACATAAATATATAAATAAGTACACAAATACACATATATATGAAATCTGTTTAGCTCCCCTCTTCACAGCTAAGTAGCTGTGTTTCTGAGGCTGAGAGGGACAGCCTGCCTTATATTTTTTAATTTCCTTCTCAGTGTGTTGGAGTACATGTACAATTTGCATTTAGCCCAAGTGAGAACCCATCATAAGCCACAATCCACCTCCTACTTGAATTATTAAAAGAGATCAAATCAGTTCCTACTGTAATCCTGAATCTCACCAGATACTCTGCTGTTGGCAAGCTTAGCAAATCCTGCTGTGTTTTCATACTGTTGGGAATGTAAATTTTCTTAAATGAGCCAGTCAAAATCCTGATTTTTCTTTTGTCAGTAAAAATTATTTAAAAGCAAAGTAAAAAAAACTAAACTAAAGTAAACTAAAATCATCCCTGCTGCCAGAGATTTTTTCACCATTACCAGCATTTGACCTCTATTTCATTGTCAGCTGGCTGTTTAAGCAGTTAAGAAACCATAAATACTTTGTAGAGCTTTGCAGGGAACTGAAAAGTAATATATATCTGTGTAATGCAAATGGCAGTGATATATCAACTTCTAAAACTGTCCAGCAACAGGGATTTACCAGTTATTTTGGAAAACTGGCAGAATAATATGTCTTAGCTGGGATTCTGCATCCCTTGTTGCTAAATTGGAAAAACCTGTCACCCCCATCTCTGGTAGCACTGTGGTCCTTCAGGCTTTGAACTCCGACTGCGAGTGTTCCTTGCTGCCTCTCTTGCAGTGATGTGTTGCAGTAGGACTGTGCAGCAGAACAGGGCAGTATTTATCACAGTGTTCTCGCTACTGTTCATGGCCACTCTGAGCCTTTGCTGGTTTGCTTCAGAGAGACTGAGCTCACAGTGCCATTTCAGCAAACATGATAAATTGGCATTTAGAGTCTAAGTTTAGCCCTTCGCTCTGACCCAAATCACATAAAATATAAATGTGTGCTCTGTCTGCATCTTTTCTCTGGGCAGCTGTTCATAACCCATTGAAATGATACCCCCACTGCCCTCCTTACTTTTAAGGTTTTAAAATTCTCCTTGACTCAAGGAAGGAAACAGAAGAAGTAAAGTTAAAGTCTTAATACTCCTCAGACACTGGTTTCCCCCATTACTTCTTGAAGGAATATAAATTTTCTGTCTTCTCTGTATTTTTTTAATTTGCATTTTATTTTCTGCCTGTAGTTGCAACTGGGCAGCCAAGAAGTATGTGCATTTATTTATGTATTTTTTAAATAGAGAAACTTCTATTCTCCACTCAAGATCATCTTAAATATACCTTAATTTTAGAAAGATCTTGCTTTACAGGATGATGTAAAAATGTTTTCATCTTTGGAATATAATTTGGGAATAATGAAAAAGAGGTAAGGATTTATTTTGCCTGATTTTCATTAGCTTTTAAAGGTTATTATTGTTATACTAGAAAATAAGGTATTTGCTTATATTATAATAATACAGAATGCTTTTAATTGTTTTAGAATAAGTAACATTATTTCCTTACTTAAAAGTAGATGAGCAAGACAAGGAGTATATTTGTAGTCTCTAAAAGTTATGTTTCTACAGACTGAATTAAGACCTGTATTTTTTGGGGGACAGGTGCAGTAGACTCAGGATCTTCTTCTTCCTCTTCGTCATCCAGCTTTGTGAATGGTGCTACCAGCAAAAATCTCCCAGCTGTCCAAACTGTTGCTCCAATGCCAGAGGATTCAGCTGAAAACATGAGGTAGACAAGTTTTAATTTCTATTAATAGTGATTATAATTTCTATTAATAGTGATTATAATTTTTCCTCCCACACTAACTGCATACATACAAATTAGAATAAATATTAAAAAATCAATATGTTTAGGTCATTTAAAATACATTATTGCACATATAAATGTAGTATAGTTGTTTTTATATACTTTTTCAGTACTAAAAATGTAAGTACTAAAATAACACTTCACTGAAAGTCTAACTTCTAAGAACTATGCCAGACACTAAAACTTCATTAAAAGTAATTTTTGTTTGACTGGCTTTTTACATTGCTTAATAACACTAAAAAGAATTGGAACACAAGTGCAACTTGGCAATGGAGCATTGGCAAGTGGAAAGAGGGACACAACCTCTTTGGAGCAAACAAAAGCCTTAGTTAAGCTGGAGAGGTTGAAACCAGACAAGTATTCATGCAGCTACCCAAGTGGTACACCAAATCTGAGTTAGTTTTGCAAAAAACACATGCCAGGGGTAGCTGATATTCCTCTTAACACTGACTAGCAGCCAGGAAAATGCCCTCTGAAAGTCCTATTAAATATCTTTGTATAATGGGTTATTATTTTGTAAAGCTGTTCAGTTGTGCCACAGCACATTTCAAAAGCACATTTTTGACCTTTTCAAGGTGTACACTTCTCTGCCCTGAAAAGCTGACAGGGCACTAAAGAGACATACTAAGGAGTTGCTAAGTGTCCCTTAGTTGGCTGACCACTTTGAGGTATGTTTATAAGAAGATTGGAGTGGAGACACTAAGCTAGCTAGCTCATGAGTAAGAGAAGTTAATTCCATAATCAACTAGAAAGGAAATAAACTTAAATCAAGGGCCCTAGGTAACCTGTATAAAAAGTGTTGGTGCTTCAGCAATTTAACACACACCTTCTTTTGCTGGTCCTATCTGATGAAGTGTCAGGTGAGTGGTGCAGGTGGAATCATAGCAATGGGTGCAGGCCCAGGCTGAAAGGATAAGGGCTGTTGGCTCCATTCCAAAAAGATGCAAGAGATCAATTAGAGAATTACCATTTCTATGGTGTTATATATTGCTTGACAGCATTACAAGGCAAGTTAATCAAACTGTGGCATAATTAAACCACTCCTTTTGCTTCTTCTTCATGTGTTAGGACAGTGATTCACTGAGGGTAAAATCTTTTAAAATTCAAAGTATACAAAAGTATATTGAAAATAAACTGGATCATTAATCAGTTTACTTTTTGGTTAATCTGCAAAATAAAGAATCTTGAATGTGGAAGGTCTTAAGAATTTATTTACCTTGAATGTCCAGAAGTTGAGAGGAAAAACATAATATATATTCTTTACAAAAAATCCTTAAAATCTCCTAGTACAGTAATGAAAATCAATTACATCAATCTCCACAAGGTGATTACAGGATGTGTTACAAAGTATAATAGATGTTAGAAACAGCTGTAGAATCCAACTGGTCTCCCTCCTCTTTTGCTCCTCTGTGTGTGTGTCTGCAGAAAAGGCAGTAGTTGGGCGTCCTTCCTTGAAACATTTTTAGGGGTTCTGTGTGTGTTTTTTTTCTTAACTTTGTTGGTTCTTTTTTAAACTGAAGAACCAGTCAGTTTTCAACACAGAAATACACCAGAGATATATAAAGGAAAAAGTTTTTTTTTTTTTTCTCTGTTTAAATATTAGTTTCCGTTCTTTGATATGCATTGTTAATCAGTGATAAACTATGGTCTCACATTTTCACAGAATACTATTCCCATTTGCCCATAAATAGATCCTTAATATACAAGATCCATCAGCTATCCTTTTGATAAAAAGTTGTTTACTAATAGCTCATCAAAGGTGTTGGTTAATAGCACATCACATCTCTCATATTGCTTGATTCTTAAATTAAAATTGATCATAATATAAAAACTTTTTTCAATTTTACATAAGGTTTTCAAAGTTATATGAACTCCAAAATTAGGCCTTTTGAACGAATTAAAGGTGAAAGCATAATTTTAAACATGGTTTAGAGATGTCTGGATTAATCTAGCAGGTGTTTTATCTCTAGCAGCAAAAGCTTGGGGTAGATTCATGTTTCAAATTACAAACTTTAAGCTAGTCACCTACATTTCAAATATAGTCAATAAAGACTTTATCAGAGTGCAACTCATTTCAACTAATCATCTACAAAAAAAGATGATTATATGAACCCCTCCTTTATAATATTCTAAAATCAATACCTGAATTTGAAATAGGAAAGCAGAACACTGAAAGAAAATTATCACTTGGAATTAATTAAAATAACTTAAGCTAATGAAGGAAAACTTCCTATGTGTTTATAATGTCAGCTTTATTTTTAAATGTAAGGGACCTTCATGTGATCTGAATTTAAAAGTCAACATTTTTTTAGTGTTTATAGATAGTAGATAAAGTGTAAAAATTATATGTTAGTTTTCATTCTCTGAGATTCGGTTAATAAATGTTACTTCTTCCTACAATTTTGCATTTAAATGCCCATCATATTTTGGTGCTGTAATTCAAGCACAAAGAAAACCCCCTCAGTCACCAGCAATCTGAAAAATAACAGCAAAAAACCTTGGTAGACCAGTATGTAATTTTGTTTCTATTTTGAAATAATAGTTCACTTCTTCAAGCTAGCAGGGTTTTAATCTTGGCATGAGAATTTCAGAAGGCACAAGTGTTATGCCCTGTCAGGTTTTAAAAGGAAAGAAGGACTGTTAAGGGCTACAATCCTTAGCACACTGCTGATTTGCAGCCTTGTATTTTTGCTAGGTTTGTATCCTCAAACAAAGGAATATTATTTCTAGTATTTAAAAAGCAAACAGAAGTCACAACACTTCTTGTCATTGTGTGAATAGAAATTAAGGAACACTCCATGCTTCAAAAAGTGTATAGTCTCAGCAGACAGTGAAGTGTAAATGCAAAGGTAGAGTTATTTACCTGAAATCACATTCCTTCAAGGTTGAAGAAAAGAATATTGATTTTCTTCATACCTGTGCTAAAATGCTTCCTCGTGCACTCCCTTGTCTAGGATTGCAATGGAAGATGTTATTGGAAAGCCTGAATAAAAAAGCAAGCTACTTGTGATTGTCTTGGGTCTTCTATCTTCGAGCTTTCAAAGTTATATAAAATGATGAGATGCATATAAACTGAGATAGGTGAAATAGACTTACACTTGAATATCTGATTTTATTATCATGTTTGAAAATGAGAATAAAAATTGTACTTGTTTTGGAGCATTCTGTAAAAGCTGTAGAATTTATGAGGCTGCCACACTGCTCGCTCTAACATAACATTTGCTTTTACTTAAAGCCATTTGAACACTATAGAAGTTTAATCAAATTATGATCATCTTCTTTTCTAAAGATACTTAGAGCAACTTTTAAAAACAGGTATGATGTGACATAAATTAACTTCTAGTACTAAGTGTTTTTCCAAACATTGTCTCTGTTTCTCCCCAGTATCACTGCAAAGCTTGAGAGAGCTTTAGAAAAGGTGGCCCCGCTCCTGCGAGAAATTTTTGTTGACTTTGCCCCTTTCCTGTCCCGAACATTGTTGGGAAGTCATGGACAAGAGCTGTTGATTGAAGGTACTGTTTCTGTTCTAAAATTATATTATTTTAACTATTAGTATTTTCATACGAACAGTGTTTTATTTTCACTAGACTGTTTTCAATAAATAAATGGATCTGTTGTTAATGTACTGTCATTTCCCATCCTTGCATTTAACTTCCTTTAAAGAATTCAGAAGTGGTAACTTCTGTACTCTTTTTTTCCCCCAAATCAAATGCTGTTTAAAGATATATCTTGCACCTTGGAATGCAAAAACATCTCTATAATTTGCTTTTTCTTCCTCAGAATAATTCTATTTGTATAAGTCTTTCAGCCTGACTTTGAGAAACTAATGAAAAATATAATTAAAAATTGTAATCAATTCCCGTGGAAGAAAGTAAATTGAAGACTATACTCCAACCTTATTGATATGTTCATCTAGATTTTTCAGGAACAGTATTTGCTCAGTTGAGTCAATTAATTTCACATGAGCAGATAAAGAATTGTCCCTAGAGGGGAATGAAAAGTGATGTTTTTTTAAAGAAAAGTATCCTTGAACACTTTCAAGGATTTTATGGGTCTTTATGTGTGGTCTTTACTACTTCATATTTACAAAATTTGGGCAAAACAATGAATCCTGCAAATTCAATCAAGTAAACTTTTTTCTTCCCAAATTGTTCTTACACATGCCATTGTTATTCAATGACAGGTTTACTATTGGACTCAATGATCTTACAGATCTTTTCCAATCTAAACAATTCAATGATTCTGGGATTCTATGAAAAAGTCTCATTAAGACAAAGCTTATAACATGTGAAGGTCTACACAGAAAAAACACAGCTTTGTGTTCAAATTACAACACTCCTTCTATTATACATATGTTTTATCTAAATACTCGTGTTCATTTTTTTTATGGGTTCAGTTATTATTCTCCACAACATTAGCCGTCTTCTGTTCTTAATGTCAGAAATATTTGCAGCTTGTAACTGAAATCTTCTGAATAGCCTTTGTCTTTTTTTGTCTAATTATTTTAAATAATATTATTTAATATTTAATAATTATTTAATTATGCCAAGGAATGGTAACTTAGTAATTCTCAGAAACTTCAAGGGTTTCACTTTTTACTTTATAGCTGTGAGTAAGTTGAATTTCTCAATGACACCTGAAGTTAATGTTCCAACATGCTCATTGAGAGCATTGAGATGGCTGCAGGATGTTTATCTCATTGCCTGTCCAGACAGAGACATGGATTTGTTGGCTGTAACTTTTTTCCAATGCTCGGTTGGTCTGCTGTTCCAAATTTTGTCCCACCTATGACTCAGCCATCCAATTCAGTCTCAAGAATAATTGTTTACTAACCAAACACCAAGTTTCAAAGTAAGAACTATCCTTCCCATCACATTTCCTTAATGTTTTGTCTAACCTTCTCTTCAGTCACTGTCTTGTTTCTAGTTTCTCAGAACTAGTCCTTTCTTCCCCAGATATTGAAATAGCAATCGGTAAATGAAAAAATCCAAACACAGCTTAGACTTTTACACTGTATGCATCAGGACTTGATTTTCTGTTTGCTTCCTCTAAAATTGTTTGGCCATATTTATTTTTTTTCACACAGAACTCAGCTGCATTATAGTAACTGTGTTCTTCTAATCTTTTCTTTCTTCACTGCCTCTATGAGACCCTTGATCTCAGCTAAGCTGAATTCTTGCCTACTTAACTGCCCTTTCAAAGGAAATTCTTAATTATCTCCTAGTCCAGTACCTCATTTAATTTATTAATCTGCTATCATTGTTTACTGGAAGCCAATAGCGGCCCTTGAAGTGTTTGAAATGGCTCTCCATGTAATGACTCTGCAAAACAGAGGGGTTTAGTGATGCGATTCAAGATATGTGAATGCATAGAATCCCTGTGGGGCTTTGATAAATTAAAGTTGCTTTTCTACTGGCAAGCAGTAATTAGCTTGACAGTTGTATAAGAAATGGTTTAATTAATTTCTTTATGTATAAAAGTTTTAGTTATGACAATTAAAAAGAAGCAAGTAAACTTTATTTAATCAAGTCTGAAGGTGCTGTTTTTCATATTGATCACCACAAAAGCATCTGTGGCATTCTATAAAGTGCATCCTTTTCTTCTGATTATTCAAGCCTGCAATATAAAAATACCTTCACACCTCTCGCTGTCTTTCAGAACCTTCATATGGTATGAAGCCTTTTCCCTATTAGATTGTGCTAAAACCTGAGCACCTTCAGGCGTCGTTGATGGCATGTGCTCTTTTTCTGGAGCTCTCTCTAGTGCTCTTGTGCATTCATGTGTGTTAGAATTGCTAAATCATTTCAGATTTGGTAAGAATATCCACAGTTTTGTAGATGACGTTTTGCATGCTGAAGAGAGCACAGAGAAAAAGGGAACAGAAAAAAATAAATAATAAAAAATCATTGTAATGCTTCTAAAACAGGTTAATTATGCAAACTTTTCAGGATATCTGATGCTTTGATATAGGTATCACTAATATATATTTGGAAATACAACTTAGTTATAATTTCACCTTTTTGTCTCAAACTTTTGGTGGAAAAATTGCAGTAATACAATACCACCTCATTATTAAGTTATCATAATTCTGTCCCATATTAGACTGGCTGATTTATTCTTTGAGGAAATTATATTTAACATCTAAGCAGTGACTTCTTAACTCTTGAATGGAATTGAAATGAACTCACTGCAGTCATCTGGTCAGTCTAGACCAAAAACTTGGACCACTCATACTCAAAATTGTTAATTTTTCATGTTTATTCATGTCAATTCCAAAATGTGACTGACAACAGAGGAGCTCTGTCAAGTAGCAATCAGACATTGCAAAACTTATATATCTTTGTTTAGTTATTGAAATACACTCATTTTTTTCCCCTTTTTTTCCACAACCTGTTCTTTCTTCAAAGGCATCTTACCATATTCCAAGTATTTCAACTTCCCAGAGTAAGTCTCCTCTGTAATAGGTTAAAAAGTACTGACTTTGAATCCAATGCAAATAGTTTCAGAGTATACCAAAGTCAGCCCAACACTACTGTGGTTCATCAACTAAAGTATTTTAATACCTCAGAGAACAGAAATTGCAAAGGTTAAATTTGTCCCTATAGGATCTAATTGGAAACAAACTTGCAATATGTGTAGGTCACATATTTAAGCTTAGCAATGCTGTTGTGGAGTTGCATTTAACACTTGCACAGATATCTTTTCAGTAACTCTGGTTCCCATATGGTCTGCAAATTCCCTCCATGTAAAGGGCATTACAACATTCTAGCATTTAGGTGAAAATGTTACAAGCAAGTGTAATCTGATATGTATCCAAAAGAAAAGTTATATCCTCTTTTTGTCAAGCACAGATGGGTAAAAGTATTTTCACTTCAGCTATCCTTGGTGTGTCCTGAACTTTTAGAATAGGTCCAAGATTGAAACATATTCACATAAAATGCTTTCCCTTCTCTTTAGTGAGATACCAAAAAAACGTTATCAATGCTTTTAATTTTCCTGTACCACTGCCTGGGTAGAAGGTCAGCCAGGTAACCCTTCTCCAGAAGAGCTCTTATTAATTCTTTGGCATGCATTTGATATGTTTCTGAATCATGTACAAGTCAGATAAAAGAGAAGATGTTTTTGTGCTGATAGCAGAGTTTGTTTCTCCTCATTAACTCACCACATGGCCCTGTGAAAATATTCAGCAGAAGTGGAGATGGAATTGTTTGCTGTGGCATTTGACAGGAAGCTTCTTGAAATAATTGAAAAATTGCCCAAAACATTCCGCAGGAAATGACAGATAGAACTTGGCTGCTAAATGATGCTACTTTAAAAGCTCCCAAAGACCACAAGTGTGGCATCACTCTGCCATCTACTAATGCTTGTACAATTTTTTTCTGGTTTCCTCAAACAATACCTAGTTTTGTAGTAGGAAGAACAGAGTGACCATTTTGCTGAGATACTGTAGAAGTCTGGAAAATCCTTAGACTTTTTGACTTTCTGGAACAGTATTTTGGTGCTTGCCTTTCTCTTAGAAACTTTTCAGAGCCTTTGTATTATTTTTGTGCTCATGAGCACAGTTGCTATATAGCAGATGGACTGAATGCAGAGCTTCATTTTCCTGTTTATATTGTTTGCGCATTCTTCCATATCACTCTGCCACGTCTGAAATATTTTTGTTTGTGTGTCCAGGCATGTTTTCTTTCAACTAATCAGACTTTTGCTAATTGCTTACCAGAATGTAGCACAGCATGTAACAACCATTCTGAAAAAAATTAATAAATTAACGTTAGCAAGCAAGAGAGAAAAGGAATAAAAATATCATGGTGTGATTTTAAATTTTTTGTTAACTGGAATTAACAGCACATAAGTAAAATGTGAAGCTATTAGCAGTGCTGTAATTTCCACAAGCCACTTTTTGGTCCTACTTTGGTATTTTTATTAGCAGTCTTGATTACAGTGCAGAATTGTTCCTGGCAAAGCCACCTGCTTAGACAGAGATACACAAAATAAGAAGCAAAGACATTCCACTGGAGAGATATGTTGAAAAAATTTGTGGAATAACCAAAACTCAAGAACATGCCAAATTTCAGCAGAGCTAAATGCTGGGTCCAATCTCTAGGGGGGAAGAATATAGGCTGTACCTAGAGGGCCGGAGATGCAGGACAAAGCCACTCAAAGCATGGAGCAATTGTTAGCTCAGTGCTGAAACACCAGTATTTGGATGCTTAGGAAGAACAGATAAGGATGTGATTTCATTCTGTGCACAACTTCTGTAAAACTCCTGTCATCTGGTTCTGTAGTCAGCATTTCTAGACTGATTTGCACACACTGCAGAAGGAATGAAAGAGCTGGGCACAAGAGTGACTGATGGATGAGAGATAAACTTCATGAAGTCCAATGTAAGGAGCTTGATTGGTTCGATGTACCAAAGAGAAGAGAGAAATTATTTAAATACTACAGGACATCTTAGTCTTTACCAAAAGAGTACCTAACAAGGGTAAAAAACATTGGAAAACATGTTACTTGT